TGGGGGTGCTGGGCCTGAGGGTGCTGCTGCGGAGGGTGCGGAGCCTGGGGGTGCTGAGCCGGGGGGTGCTGTACCTGGAGGTGCTGGGTCTGGGGGTGCTGGGTCGGGAGCTGCTGAGCCTGGGGGTGCTGAGCTGGGAGCTGCTGAGCCTGGGGGTGCTGCGTCTGGAGCTGCTGAGCCTGGGGTTTCTCCTGCTGCTGCGTCTCGCCGGGAGCCCCTCTCTCCACAGGAGCTGCGCGAGTGGTTCGCTCGCCGCTGGAGGCGTGCTGCTGAGTCTGGAGGTGCTGCTGGAGTTGGAGCTGGAGCTTCTTCGACCGTCGAGGGTGCGGGTGCTGCTGGTCCCGGAGCTGCTGGACCTGCGGGTCCTCCTGGAGCTGGAGCTGCTGCGGGCGCTGGTGCTGAGCCTACTTCTGTTGGTCCTGCCGCTGGAGGTGTGGGTGGCGCTGGTGCTGTCGCTGAGGGTGCTGGTGCTGTCCCTGCTGCGTCTGGAGCTGCCGCGCGGCCTCGGCCGTACTTCGTTCCGCTTCTGCAGCAGGTTCTTGGTCTTTCTCCTCCGGTAGAGGGTCCACCGCCTGTCCAGTCGCAGTCCCTGCTGGAGCCTTCCTCTCCGCTGCCTGCTCCCTCTCCTTACACTGGTCCCACTGGAGGTCTTGCTGAGCGTCGTGAGCCTGCGTCTCGTCCCGCGTCGCCTGTTCGTGCTGCTCGCGCTAGTGGTCGCAGTTCGCGTCAGCGTCCTCCTCCTGTCCCTGGTACGCACCGGATGTCTTTGCGACCGTCCACTGCTCCTCTGCGTGCCCCTTTGCCTTCTCCTCCTGAGTCCTCTCTTCCTGCGCTTGCCGACTCTGCGTCGGACTCTCTTCGTGCTGCCAGTCCTACTGTCACGCGTCTGCTTGCTACTGTTGTCACTGACCCCTCCTTTGAGTCCACTGCTGCGTCTGCTCTAGTCGCTGAGCTCGTCGACTTTGCTGCTCGCTGTCGTCTCGACTACGCTGCTAGTCTTGTTGCTGAGTCTGCGTCTGTCTGTCCTCCGTCCGTCGGGGGTGAGTGTGCTCTTGGCACGGACGTCCTAGAGGACAGGCAGGAGGAGTTACAGTGTCTAGCGACTGCTTCACCCCATCTCGCGTCTGTACTGCTTGCCCCTGAGGGAGACCCGGATGCACTAGACATCCCGACTCCGCGTTCTTACGCGGAGGCCGTAGAGGGTCCCTACTCCTCTCAGTGGCAGGCAGCTATGGATGCAGAGATGGCTTCCTGGAAGTCCACAGGCACCTACGTTGACGCGGTTCCCCCTCCTGGGGCGAACATCGTCAGTGGCATGTGGATCTTCAGGGTGAAGCGGCCGCCGGGCTCTCCACCTGTCTTCAAGGCACGGTACGTTGCTCGTGGCTTCAGTCAGCGGCAGGGAGTTGACTACTTTCAGACCTTCTCTCCCACCCCGAAGATGACTACTCTTCGGGTGCTGCTGCACATAGCCGCTCAGCGCGACTACGAGCTTCACTCTCTCGACTTCAGCACTGCGTTCTTGCAGGGTAGCCTGCACGAGGAGATCTGGCTTCGCCGTCCACCTGGCTTCACTGGGACTTTCCCCCCTGGCACCCAGTGGAGCCTCCGACGGCCAGTCTACGGTCTCCGCCAGGCACCGCGTGAGTGGCACGACACACTGAGGACTACGCTTGCGGCTCTTGGGTTTGCTCCTTCTACTGCTGACCCGTCGCTGTTTCTTCGCACCGACACTTCCCTGCCGCCGTTCTACATCCTCGTGTACGTCGACGACTTGGTCTTTGCCACAGCGGACACTGCTGGACTCGCCTACGTGAAGTCCGAGCTGCTGAAGAGACACACGTGCACAGACCTGGGTGAGCTGCGCAGCTACCTTGGCTTGCAGATCACTCGGGACAGAGCACGCCGCACCATTACCTTGACTCAGTCACACATGGTGCAGCAGGTCCTTCAGCGCTTCGGCTTCACGTACTCCTCGCCTCAGGCCACTCCTCTGCCTACTCGCCACTCACTCTCAGCTCTGCCTTCGGATGAGTCCGTAGAGTCGAGTGGTCCGTATGCAGAGCTTGTTGGCTGCCTCATGTACCTGATGACCTGCACACGACCTGACCTTGCATACCCTCTGAGCATTCTTGCTCGCTATGTTGCTCCTGGGAGACACAGACCAGAGCACATGGCTGCAGCGAAGAGGGTATTGCGCTACCTGTGCAGCACGTCGGGCATGGGGCTAGTGCTTGGAGGGCGGAGTCCAGTAGTCCTTACCGGCCACGCGGACGCTTCTTGGGCTGACGACCAGGCTACGCAGCGGTCGTCACAGGGTTACACCTTCAGCCTTGGTTCCGGCTCTGTCTCGTGGCGGTCTACTCGCTCGTCTTCGGTTCTCGGCTCCAGTTGTGAGGCTGAGATCTACGCCGGGGCCATGGCTGCACAGGAGCTTCGCTGGCTCACCTACCTGCTGACTGACCTTGGAGAGCCGCCTCGTTCTCCTCCAGTGCTGTACGTAGACAACACGGCCATGCTGGCCTTGTGTCGAGAGCAGCGTCTGGAGCACAGAACGAAGCACATTGCTCTTCGCTACTTCCTTGCTCGTGAGCTGCAGCAGCGTGGTCAGCTGCGACTTGCGTACGTGGCCTCTGAGGCCAACACTGCTGATGTGTTCACCAAGGCACTCGCGCCTTGTGACCATCAGCGCTTCTGTACCCAGCTGGGTCTTGTGCCTGTCTTGCCTCACTTGCTCTCTTCCTGACTTCACTTGTACTGTGACATATATATATACCTGCTCTTGCTTGTCTAGTATTATATATATGTCTGTACTCCTGCATGTGAACTGGCCCCTGGCCCTGCTCTTGCGCTCGGACTGTGTGGTGACGTTGTGATCCACCCTGAGCTTGCTCTGCTTTGCTTTACCTGACTGGTCTTGTGACCCCTTGTTCTCCCCCACTTTGCCTATGGGGGTGTGTCAGATTTATATGACATAGTTTCTGTAGGCTATAGTGGGGTAGCACATATGGGGTACAGGGTTTCTAGGGTTGCATTTGTACCCAATCTTCCATAGTCATTTCATTCCTGTTTTCCTTACTTCACAGGTAGGACCACCCCGTTGACTCGGGTCAAAGCATGGCGGGCGCTGCTGCTTCAGCGGCATCGGTGACGGCAGTCCCGAATCATGGGTTGGTGCCGAAATCGTGACGCGAGGCTGAGTTGGGGCCGCATGCGTCGCTCTGGGGTGTGTCGTGCCGTGGTCGTCGTCTCCGTCGGGGCGGACGACGCCATCACTGGCCGCGCTCACGGGTTGCCCCACACTCCCGTGTTGTGATGTTGAGGGTGCAGGTTGAATCGGAGTGCCAGGTGCTTGAGATTGTGCTTGTTGTGCCCTCATGAGGTCATTTTGCAGCGATGAGCGTTCTGCCGTTAATGCCGCGATTTCCTCGGAGCTTTCGTGCAGCTGTCGCAGCAGATCGTTCAAACGCTCCTGCGTGAGGGTGGTGACGTCGATATTTTCAGCCATGACGAAGTGAGTCGGCTCGTCTTAGTTTAGGCGCAGTCGTGGCTGCACGCGTTTACGAGAGAACGCGAGGACAGCGGCTCCTAGGGGCTAAGGTGCGTGAGTCCCTTCGAGTGAAAAATCAAAAGTTGATTTCCTGGTGTGCGGAGATGCGCGGTCCGAAAGAAAGGGGCTCTGATAACCAAGTGTTACGGGTGCAATGAATCGAAGTAGCGAGAATTGCACTAAGGTGTCAAACGAGTACAAAATGTGAGCGAAGGCATGAGCGAACATTTATACGCGAAACATGCAAAACGGTAACGCGGTGCGTGCGAGCTTGCTAGTGCTACGCTGGAGCGAGGCTCGGGCTAGTCCCGAAGCGTAGGCCGATACGGCCATGCCAGCAGTGCGGGGTTTGGCAAAACAGTGCGCGCGAAGTCGGCGAAGTTCCGTTAGCAGTAACGGGCGAACAATCGGCTGTTGCTGTACGCGATGTAGTCGGCTCCGTAAGGAATGCCGAGAAAATTCCTTACATGTTGGAAGGCTCTGCTCTGGCGTTTTGGCTAGTTGTCATGCTAAGCTTGCAGATTGGCCATGTTTGGTCTGATCCACAGCGAAACCTTGTTCGCTTGTGCAGTTCTAGGCTGCACCCTTCTACGTGTGACCCAATCGGGTCCTGATGGTTTTCGAGCTTTCCCACAATTGAACCTCCGTCTGCCCTCGGAACGAAGTTCCATCTGGGCGCTACTTGGGAGAACGGGTAACGTCAGGTGGGGCGTGAGGTGCGGATGTCAGGGGGTGCACCGTACAATGTCCCCAGATGCATGACCGCTACTGCTAGACTTGGAAGTCACTTCACTTCTCATCTACAGTTGACCGTAAGGTGCAGCTAGTTTCAGAGCGGTCTAAACCATTGAACGTAATACCAGTTCCCGGTATCGATAGTGAAGCCAGACCAGGGATGGTACCAAGGTTTTTAGTCCTTTCGAATTCTCAACCTAGCGCTCACACTCAACCAAAACGGCCATGGTTCCATGCCATTCCCTATGGGTTTAAGTTTTGTTCTGCCCCGGTCAGGCGTGGGGTTGTTTGTCCGTTGAGACATTTTGAGAGGAAAGCTGCTCTCCGCTCTTCCTTGCAACGAGGACTGCCCTCGAGACAGTTTTTGAACCCTCCCTTGCTCAGCATTTGAAACCCTCGTTCTTTCTCTCTCCCCCCTGTTTCCGACCTTCGCTTCACATAACAGTTCAGTGTCACGCTGCTATCTGAAACCCCTGAATGCAGTGGAGAGCTTCTCTTCACATAACAGTTCAGTGTGTCACCCTGTTTCTTGAAACCCCTCACACTCCCCTGTTGAAACCCCAGCCTGCAGTGGAGAGCTTTAGTTCTCAGCTCTTGTGACTGGAAACGCTACTTCCCATTTCAGGGTCGCACTTTTAGGCGACACAGACCTTCAGCAGAAATTTTTTTAGTGACACTGACTGCTTCTTAGAGTTTATCAGTTCGCAACTTAGCCATGGAACCGCAGTCAGAGTCCAACACTCCCAGCCCTGAAGCCCCAGCAGCACCACCACCTCCGTTGCAACAAGCCCTGATTGCCGCGGTTGAACATAATCAAAGCGCAGAAAATATTGACACGGGTGACATTGAAAACACAGCTCCCGCTGAAGGCACAGCTATTATTGAAGCTTCAGCGGCTATCGAAAACAAAACCGCTATTATTGAAGCCTCAACGGCTATTGAAGCCACCGAAGCCGCCCCGTCCAGCACTCCTCGAGGCGACTCCGTCGGAACAGCTGGAGACGATGGCGGACTTAATGCCGACACGGCAGCTAACGCTAATCGCGGACATTGGAGAGAGGACGAGGTCATCGAACTCGTTAAAGCCCACGTGGAGCTGGACCCGGAATACCACATCATGCGGGGAGTTCAAGGCTCAAACTACTACGGCGAATTGTACCGCATTCTGCGGGCGAAATTCCCCGATTTCCGTCACACGGAGGGGTCCGTCAAGACAAAGCTGTTCCGCCTGAAAGGACAGTACTTGCAGCTTCGAGACCGGATCGAGCTGTCCGCGTCTGCTGCTCCCCGGAATCTACCGGAATGGTTTGTCTTGCTGGATACTGTCATGGCTCGGGAGTCCAGTAGTCGGCAGACTGCGACGGCGGCGAACCAGCAAGGTTCTCGGATAACGCACCCGTCGACTAACTCAGGTAAGGGTACGATCCTGCTCGAAACGCCGCCATATCTTAGCGTTTTGATATTTATGTGTGCTTTTTTTGTTGGTGTGAAGATACGGTGTTGTTGAGCTGTCTCGAGCTGATTTACCGTGTGAATAGACACACCCTCAATGGTAGCGGACTAATAGAGGTGTCTGCGATTCCTGTGTTCAGGTCGTATGGCAGCCCTGCTCACGAATGCCGGCCAAGAGAGGAAGCTTCTTTCCGCCGAGACGCCTGCATATGCGTTTCCAGTCACGCCGACGTGGCCCGACACAGCAGGCCAAAGCGGACTTGCAAGAAACAGCCTGTTTCAAAATATTGTTTCAACACCAGAACCACCGATTTCAGCTCCAACTCCACCACCAGCAACAATTTCTCCGTTCGCAGGTGGCGGCGGATCGGGCAGTTATTTGCTTTCTCTTCGTAACTCCATTACTCCTGTTCCTACTCGGGAGACTGGCAGGCTGAGGATGGGAACCGGTGGGTTTGGTGAGGGAAGGAAGAAGCGGGGAGCAGCAGCAAGAGGAGCAGGGATGCTGTCAGGGCCTGAAGTATCCATTGCTGCGGCTATGGCTGAAAAGTTTGCAGCTGCAATGGGCTCTGCGGTGAGAAACGCATGCTTTCAGTTTGAGGAGCTAACCCGAGAGCTGCTGGAGAATTCGTGCTCTCAGTTTGAGGAGCTTTCAGCTAGATTGGCCGAAAATGCAGCTGCTCAGTTTGAAGATGTTGCCAGAGAACTGGCAGCTAACTTTGGGGCTAGCCAAGATGTCAAGAGGCGTAGGAGGTAAATCTGGTTGTCTCTGATTAAAATTACCATGTGGCTATCCGAAACGTTTCGTATTGTAGATGTTGTATGGTGGTTGACAAGTGGGATTGTCTCTGTACTTGTGGGACACTATTGAATTGGTGAAAAGTTCTGTGGTAGGAGCTGAAGGCTGCACATGGCTGAAACATGCAACTGACCACATGTGGAGCAAAACACAAGTGACCATCTAAGTAAACCTGGCATCATTAAAAAAAATTGCCACTTGTGGAGCAAAAAACGGAGGACAACCTTTACCACACCCCCATCAAAACCTCCTCCGCCTCTTGTAGTCCTGCCCGGCTTTCCACGACTCAGAAAACTCCCTCGCAGCACTCCTGAACTGCAAGCACGCCCTCTCTGCCATATCAGCCACCATCCCCTCAAACTCACCACACGCTCTCTCCACCCACTCCTGAGTAAGCCCCTCGAAATCCGCAAACGCATTCTCAACCGCCTCATCCATCACATCACCCAGCCCTTCAGCAGCCATCAGGCCTGTCCTGCCGGCCGTGCGACGTGCACTCAAGTGTGAACGCACCCCGGGATTGACTGCAAACCCCTCTCTCTCTCGCCACCCTGATCCCCACCTGCCCCTCCTCCACCCCGTGGGTCCCAACCCTGCTGCCATTCTCCTCCCCCCTCTGGTAATGGGGGGAGACATTTGCATGCCATCTCGAGGAGAAGGCGGGGAAGCCAGCCTATCATCCTCAGCAGAAGCTGGTGACGTCAGCTTATCACCTCCGGCCGAAGCAGGTGACGTCAGCCTATCGTCTTGAGCAGCATGGGGGGGCGTCAGCCTCTCAGTTGGAGCAGAAGGGGGAGGAATCGACCTTTTGGCCCGGGGAGACAGTGGGATTGTGGTGGCAAGGAGTGATTGCAGGTAGCTTCTGCCTGAATCGTTGGCTCCTGCAGCTGCTGTTCCAGGTGCTGCTCCTGTTCCTGTTCCTGTTCCTGTTGCTGTTGCTGGGCCTGCTGATATTGCTGCTGCTGTTCCTGATCCTGTCCCTGCTGCTGTTCCTGCCCCTGCTGCTGTTCCTGCTGCTCCCCCTCCAGCTGCTGCAGAAGTGGTAGACAGAGGAGGTACCGACGCTGCTATTGGAGCAACAACACGCAATGGATTGCTTGCGCCGAGCACTGCCAATGCCAATGCCCCAGCAGCAGTCGCTGCAGCAACAGCTTGCCCAACAGTTGATGACGCCCCAGTCGCCCCAGGTGCTGATGCTGCTCCGGCATTAAGTGGCAACGTAGCAGCTGCAGTCGGGGTGTACAGTGCAGAAACCTCTCGGGCAGATCGGGGAGGGGGAGAGACATACTGCTGTGCTTTTGTAACTGCTGCAGTGGGCAGGGTTGGGAGAGCTGGGGAAGGATACTGCAGTGTTCTCGCGTTTGCTGCAGTGGGCAGGGTTGGGAGAGCTGGAAACGAATACGCTTCAGCGTCGTCGAGAGAACCGTCGAGTGGGTTCAAGTCGTCTTCACTTGAATCGCCTCGTCCTCTCTCTCGCTTCGGTACTGCTGATGCTGCTGCAGGACGGCCTGTAATCGAGCAAACGCATGGGAAACATAGAGAAGGGACAGGATAACGTTTATTCCATGGCATAGCATAATACAGGCGCGGTATAGAGAGAGAGACACAGAGAGAGAGAGAGAGAGAGAGAGAGAGAGAGAGAGAGAGAGAGAGAGAGAGAGAGAGAGAGAGAGAGAGAGAGAGAGAGAGAGAGAGAGAAAACGCCCTCCTAGGTTCGAACGGCTAGCGTTGTAATTCCTAGAACGGCACGCACACGAAGCTCGCGCTCGCTCCTCGCGATTTCGGCGGTCGACCGCGACCTCCTCCATTTGGCCAAATTTCCCCCCTCGGCGAACGCAAGTGAAACTCTTAATGTTCCATCACCAAATCCATTTTGAGAATGCTCAAGAGTAATTTCAACGTACCTCGCGATTTCGGTGGCCGACCGCGACGCGGCCGAATCTCCCCCCTGGCCGACCGCAGGTGAAACTCGTCCCGCTCCATGACCGAATCCATCAACACATACCACTCCGGCAGCTGCTCCTTCGAAGAGACGGCTGACCGGTCCAGCCGGTTCTGCAGCCGGTAGTATTTATTCTTCATGCGGATGAGCTTCGACTTGACGGCCGGCTGTGAGTGCCGGAACTCGGGGAACTTCCGAAGCAGCAAGGCGATTAATTCGCGGTAGTAGTTGGAGCCATGGATGATGCGCATGCCGTCATTTTCGCGGTCGAGCTCCACGAACGCGTAAACCAGCTGCATGGTTTCAGTAGGGCTCCAATGCTGTCGCACGCCGTTAATCGCGCGAGCCAGATCGGCCGCGCTTCGGCGCTCACGAGCGATTTCTCTGCCGTTGACGTCACGATTGACGTCATTGTCGTCGTTATCGTCGTTGTCCTCGTCAGCCGAATCGTCATGATAGCGCGAGGCGAAAATGGGAGCGTTTAGGTAATCGCTCGGGAGCAAGCTGTTGTTGCTTGGCGACGGGGAGTCTTCTTGAAATTGCATGACTTCGGGCTGAAAAAAACTACCCTATTTAACAGTTGCGTGGTTCAGCAATGACCCAGCCTCAAGAGCATTTCTGCTACAAAAAAGCAACTAGGAAAATCGTTCCGATCGCAAGCGACAACCGTCGCTCGCTAGCAGTTCTTGCAATTACGAACCTAGGAGGTCAAGCAGGGAAGAGGATGTTCCTCCTAGTAACAAACTGATCTCCAGCAAACCGTTCCAATAGGAAACTGATTGAAAGAAGCAGACTGTTTACTGGTTCAAACCGCTCTTACTGCCAAACCGATCAAAGGAGCATTCTAGTAGGTACACAAACCTAGGGTTTCAAAGAAGATAGCTGGCAGAAACTCGGCTGCCTTTTTCATGCTTGGTTTCTGCTCCTCCGAACGGCCAGCTGTACTTTCAAGGTCGAACGAGCCGTTTTGTTCGGCCTCCAAGAGAGTTTGAGTACGGTGCGGTGTGATCAAATGAGATGCAGTCTGGTGAGCGCGGGTACGAGCCGTTCGCACCAGTCCCTCCATCCGCGCCCTGGATGATGACGGTCCATCCCGTTTGATCAAGGGTTGATGCACGGATGCACGATATTGTTCGGTTCTGCCTGATAGTGAATGATACTGAGTGCGAATCCGCTCACAGTATTGGTAGGCAAACCACACCAAACTGCCCTAAGCGAATTGGATGAAGGGAGGGGGCGAACCTGACGACAAGAACTCTTGTACCGAGCCGGGGCCGAACGTTTAGAGGGTTCGTATCATGGTTCTGATTGGCCAGTTGTCTGCCACGGTGCTAGGTTCGGTCTGAGCGGGACGAGAGCAAGCAAAAGAAGTTTGTTGTTGGGCAAGTATAATGCCCAGAAAAGTTCCGGTTGACTGTCATCCCGCTACGGCAGGACAAGTAGCAAGGTCGAAACCAGCGATGCGAAGTTACTCGCTATGAGGTGTCGCTAATTCGTCATCAAAGAGGATGGTCGTCGCTTGCGGAAGGAACGCATTGCCCGTACCACAAAAAGATGGACTTGCAATGACCTGTCAAAAGCAGAGTAGGACGCGGTGAAAGTAGACGATCGATCGTCAGTAGCGATCGATGTGCGGATCGGTTACCCTATTAACTACAATGTAACCATGTTACAGTACGCTTTTTGGCCAAAATTTCTATACAGTGTGAGAATGCGACTAATCACTGTTCGCGGGAAATCTGTCAATTTTCAGCCGCGATCGTTACAGCGTCGCGGTCGCCATGTTTCTGTGAGAATAGTGAGTATAGTGAAGAGCCATAGCTAGGGTTTAGCTAGCTAGGCAAGAGAGAAATGAACAAAGGAGGGGTTTCACTAGCAGTAGTTGGGATACATATAGCAAACCCTAACAGGGTTGTACTCGCTATAGAGCACCCCACTACAGGCTAGATAATAACATTCTGACACACCCCCATAGCCAAAGTGAGGTGTAATCAGCAGAGCACGCAGTCATAGAGCAGGTTCACAATTGCAAGCAAAGCTAGAGGTAAACACAGCGGGCAAGTGAGGAGGAGGAGGAACTGTGGAAGGAGAGAAGATGGGAGGCAACGACTGAAGCTGCAGAGGCACGGGCACAGGAGCGGCTGACTCAGTGGCTACCGAAGCAAGGGCGACGGACTACTGGAGTGACTGGCTCCGCGGCTAAGACGAGCGGCAGGAGCAACGGACCCACTGGCGACTGGTGCAACAGGCTCACTGGCTACCGAAGCAAGGGCGACGGACTACAGGCGCTGCAGGCGACACGACAGCTATCTCCACACAACCTCCTCCAACTGACCCACGCCCTTGACACATACCCCCTGCTGAACCCCGAACTCCACTCCCACGTCACCCCCCTAGCACCACTCCTTCGGCTCCCACACACCCACCCCCCTGAGCGGTAGCTGCAGCTGCGGGAGTCGGAGGAGGAGGAGGAGGAGCAGGGAACGGCGCACAGAAACTGCACCCCCACACCCCCACCCCCAAACCCTAATTCAGGAGAACGGGCAGCAGCAGGGGTGGGGCGCCATCAGAAGCACGGGGGACAGCGGGCAGCTCAGAGGCAAAGAGGAACGGGCCGTCCACGGGCCTGGCACAGCCAGACGAGCCGCGCGCAGGCGGCTCGAGCCGCGCGCGGGCCTGGCGCAGCCCGTACGGGCCGCGCTCGGGGCTAGCGCAACCCGCGCTGGCCGGAACGGGCGACGGGGGACGACGGGCTGGTCCCCGTCGCTCGTCGAAGCGCCCCCCGGGGGCAACGCGCGGACCGGCAGGGCAGAAGGCCGCCGCGCGCCTCGGGGCGCACGGCGGGCAGAGAACCGCCACACGCCCCGGGGCGCACGGCGGGCAGAAAACAGCCGCGCCCCTCGGGGCGCACGGCGGGCAGAAAACCGCCGCACGCTCCGAGCGCGCGGCGGGAAGAAAAATCCGTCGCACGCCACGGGGCGTGCAACACACAGAGTAGCAGCGGAAGCAGTTAGGTGGGCCCACAGGCCAGGAGCGTAGATGCTCTGATAGCATGTGAGAATAGTGAGTATAGTGAAGAGCCATAGCTGGGGTTTAGCTAGCTAGGCAAGAGAGAAATGAACAAAGGAGGGGTTTCACTAGCAGCAGTTGGGATACATATAGCAAACCCTAACAGGGTTGTACTCGCTATAGAGCACCCCACTACAGGCTAGATAATAACATTCTGACAGTTTCGCCAAACGATCTGCCCACTCGATTGTGGGGATCGATATATGCGGACGATCCTGCGATATTTGCACTTTCAACGTATCCTAAGGACGCGTCACCTGAAGCGGATCGATCGGCTGGAAGATCGGTTTTGCGCCCGGGGTGTAGCACTGTAGCGTCGTAATCAATAAGGTAACAAAATTTCCCCAGCATTGACGAATGTACAGTAAAATTGTGCCCACGACCCTGTCACCAACGGGAGCCCCGATCGATATAGCGAAGTGCATACATCGATCGTGAGATTGGTTGGCCCAGTGTGGAATTTCGCGCCACGAGTGACAGTCAAGATTGATCGTCTTCGCTCGTAGTTGCATTATAACTGCACGAAAAGCACCATTTCGGCTGGCAACATACTGTCAACCGCTCATTCCTGAAGGCGAAGAGCGACCTGCCGGAAGGGGTGGAAGTCTTACTCAAGGGGTTCCTGCGGAGATTACACCTCTTATTGTTTACGACTCATTGGTGGTCGCGAAGCTGCAGAAGCGTGGCCGTTCGGCGTTCCTGCAAGGTGCAGGTTTCCACCGCGTGGTCGACCCGGTTTCTGGCCTGGACACGGACAAAATCCGGGGTCTGGTGCTTCCGCATCCTGGCGACAAATACCGTTGGCGTCATCTGGTGGAGGATCCGCTCACTGATGCGTCATTCCTGGTGCACTTTCCGTCGCTATCCTGCTGCTACTGCCAGGGTCAGCATATGGATAAGTTGCACAATGAATGCGTGCGTGAGCGTCGCAACAGCATCCCCAAGTGGAACTTGTCGTTAGGCAGGGTCCATGGTATCAACGGTAATGGGGGGGGATTCTGACTAGGGGTTTCCAGCCGTTCACTCTTGCTATTCCCGTCCACTAATGACGATGTGATGGGCCCATCGTGCATCGGCCTCCCTCTCGTTGGCAGGAGTAGTGAAGAGGATTCTCCGGGACCCGGCTCTAGTCCTGATCTCAACGGGACCCAAGATGGAGGAGTCGTTATGTGTCCAGGAGTGATGCGACCGCGCACAGGGGGAGACCTTTGCGCAAGCTGCTGCTCACATCGGCTCCTTTGGTCATGGTGCGGCGCTGGGTGCAGCTGGCGTTGCGACTCGTGCGAGCAAGGCGAAGCAGAGTCTGCAGGCTGCGAAGAAGCTGTATGGGATTCGAGCGGAGGCAGCAAAAGCGAAGTGATTCGGATGCATGGAGTTAGGCGGCTTATCTGTCTAGCATGGAGTAGCGGAATAGGAGATGGAGTTGTGTCTATACCTGTCTGGAGTAATTTCGCAGAGCAATGCACTTACATCGTCATCATCATCACCGGCCCTTGGATGTTAAGGGGCCTATCACATGTTACGAATGGGTAAACACACCACACTCACCTTCAGCGTCCTGAACGTCAACGGCCTGGGCTGCTTGCAAAAGCAGCATGACGTTCGGGACTGGATATCGCAGGCAGCCCACATAGCCATTTTGGCTGACACGCGGATCCCAGCGGATCACAACTTTTGGAGTCAACTGAGAGCGGACACGGTAGTGGCAGCCACACCATCTGTGAGGGCTGGAGGAGTGGCGATAGTCATACGAAACAGCGAGGTGTCCTGTACGGACGAAGTCTGCGACGCGTCTAGGCGGTTGGCGCGTGCAACTCTGTCGTGGAGAGGCGTGGTGCTGACGGTGGTCGCAGCGTACTTCCCGTCGAGCCCAACGGCGAGAGCTCCTTTCTTCCGGGACGTGCTCCAGCCGTTCATTTCGGCGATACCTGCAGGAAACCAGCTCATGCTGGCTGGGGACCTGAACGTTGTGGAGGATCCAGCGCTGGACAAGACATCGGGAGCGGGCTCAAGGGGGGAGAACGACAGACTGATGACGATTTGCAGCAGCTTTGATGTGAGGGACGCTTTCAGAGCCCTTCATCCATGCCTGCGGGAGTACACATTCTATGCAGCAGCAGTGCAGGAGAGCACAAGGATCGGCCAGATTCTACTCTCGCAGTCACTGCTTCACCAGGTTCATGAGGTGCGGCACGCGGAGCTGGTCAAAAGGTTCACGGACCACTGGCTCGCGGTTCACCTGAAGCTCAGCGCGGGGGGAGACGGGGAGTCAGGCCCGGGCCTCTGGAGACTGCCGGTGTCGCAAGCGCCACGTCCTGGGGTGCGGAAGCGGGTGGAGCAGATTGTGCGTAAGAACAAAGAGAGAGGAGGGGACTTGGAGTCCCTAACGGCGTCTTTAAGGGTGGGACTCAAGGCCTACACCGTTGAGGAGCGGAAGCGGGTGGCGGCCACGACGGCGCATCTGGTACGGGAAGTCGGGGACCTGAGATAGAGGGTGATGAACAAACCTTGGTGCTCACGAGCGAAGGCGCGGCTTGCGAAGGGAGAAGCCAAGCTCAAGGCGTATGAGGACGGGAGACGCCAGAAACTGCAGGAGCAGGCGGGGGTCAAGGTTGAAATGAACGGGGAAGCCCCCACATGTTTTATGACCGCTAAGATCAAGGCGCGAAAGGCAAGGACGCGTCTGGTGGAGGTGAACTACAATGGGATTCGGCATGAGGGTGCAAAGGAAGCGCTCATGGCTGCGTCAAGCTTCTACACGCAGTTGTTCGCGGCCAGGAAGGGACCGGCTAACTCACAACTGGACTGGGACCTGGACACACGCCCCCCCCCCCCCCCCCCCCCGAAGATGCAGAGGAGCTGTGCGCGCCATGGGAGGAAGCGAAGGTCAAGCGTGCGCTGGAGGAGATGGCGCGGGGCAAGACGCCAGGGCGCGACGGCCTCCCGAAGGAGCCCTGGGAGCTGTAGTGGGACCTGATGGGCGGGCAGGTGATGCAATTTCTGAAGGAGTTTGAGCGGACGGGTGTGTTGCCCAAGGAGTTCTCGACGGCGGTGACGGTACTTCTGCATAAGAAAGGGGCTAAGGATGATTTGCAGAATTACCGCCCAATCACACTACTAAGTACGGCGTACAAGGTCATGGCGAAAGTACTGGCAAACAGGATAAAACGCAAACTGGAGAAAGTGGTGTCAGAAGGGCAGTTCGGGTTCCTACCTGGCAGAAGTCTGGCGCGCGCGGTGGCGATCGCGGCTGACGTGATAGAAGCGGCGAACTCCGGCCAGGAGGACTGGCTCATGCTTCTCGTCGATTTCAGGAAGGCTTTTGATTCGGTGGGACGGGTCTATTGAGAAAATGAACGAGAATGATTGACTAAGGGAGAGTTGGGTACAAGTACAAACCCTAGAAAGTCGTACCCCATATGTGCTACCCCACTATAGCCTACAACAGCTATGTCATATAAATCTGACACACCCCCATAGGCAAAGTGGGGGAGAACAAGGGGTCACAAGACCAGTCAAGCAAAGCAAAGCAAGCTCAGGGTGGATCACAAAGTCACCACACATTCTGAGCACAAGTTCAAGGCCACAAGGCCAGTTCACATGCAGGATTACACATATATATATAAGGCTAGACAAGCAAGAGCAGGTGTATATATATATGTAACAGTACAAACAGATCAAGTGGTGAGCAAGTGAGGCAAGGCAGGCACAAGACCCAGCTGAGTACAGAAGCGATGATGATCACAAGGCGCAAGTGCCTTGGTGAAGATAATAGCACTGTTGGCCTTAGAGGCCACGTACGCAAGGCGCAGCTGACCACGCTGCTGTAGCTCACGAGCAAGGAAGTAGCGAAGAGCAATGTGCTTCGTTCTGTGCTCCAGTCTGTGCTCCCGACACAAGGCCAGCATGGACTTGTTGTCTACGTACAGCACTAGAGGAGAACGAGGCGGCTCTCCGAGGTCAGTCAGCAGGTAGGTGAGCCAGCGAAGCTCCTGTGCAGCCATGGCTCCTGCATAGATCTCAGCCTCACAACTGGAGCCGAGAACAGAAGACGGGCGGGTAGCCCGCCACAAAACAGAGCCGGAACCAAGGCTGAAGGTGTAACCCTGTGACGACCGCTGCGTAGCCTGGTCGTCAGCCCAAGAAGCATCTCCATGCCCAGTGAGGACCACTGGACTCCGCCCTCCAAGCAGAAGCCCCATGCCCGACGTACTGCACAAGTAGCGCAACACCCTCTTTGCTGCAGCCATGTGCTCTGGTCTGTGTCTCCCAAGAGCAACATAGCGTGCAAAGATGCTAAGAGGGTATGCAAGGTCAGGTCGTGTGCAGGTCATCAGGTACATGAGGCAGCCAACAAGCTCTGGGTACGGGCCACTCGGCTCTACGGACTCATCCGAAGGCAGAGCTGAGAGCGAATGGCGAGTAGAAAGAGGAGTGGCCTGAGGCGAGGAGTACGTGAAGCCAAAGCGCTGAAGGACCTGCTGCACCATGTGTGACTGAGTCAGGGTAATGGTGCGCTATGCTCTCTCCCGGGTGATCTGCAGGCCAAGGTAGCTGCGCAGTTCACCCAGGTCTGTGCACGTGTGTCTCTTCTGCAGCTCGGACTTCACGTGGGCGAGTCCAGCAGTGTCACCTGTGGCAAAGACCAAGTCGTCGACATACACGAGGATGTAGAACGGCGGCAAAGAAGTGTCGTTGCGCAGAAACAGCGACGGGTCGGCAGTAGAGGGAGCAAACCCAAGAGCCGCAAGTGTAGTCCTCAGTGTGTCGTGCCACTCACGAGGTGCCTGGCGGAGACCGTAGACTGGCCGCCGGAGGCTCCACTGGGTGCCAGGAGGAAAAGACCCAGTGAAGTCAGGTGGGCGACGCAGCCAGATCTCCTCGTGCTGGTTGCCGTGCAAGAAAGCAGTGCTAAAGTCAAGAGAGTGCAGCTCGTAGTCACGGTGAGCAGCTATGTGCAGCAGTACCCGAAGAGTGGCCATCTTCCGGGTGGGAGAGAAGGTCTGAAAGTAGTCAACTCCCTGCCGCTGACTGAAGCCACGAGCCACGTAACGGGCCTTGAAGACAGGCGGAGAACCCGGCGGCCGCTTCACCCTGAAAATCCACATGCCACTGACGATGTTCGCCCCAGGGGGGGGAACCTCGTCAACGTAGGTGCCTGTGGACTTCCAGGAAGCAATCTCTGTGTCCATAGCTGCCTGCCACTGAGAGGAGTAGGGACCCTCTATCGCCTCCGCGTAAGGGCGCGGAGTCGGGATGTCACGTGCATCCGGGTCTCCCTCAAGGGTAAGCAGTACGGACACGAGATGAGGTGAAGCAGCAGCCAAGCACTGGAACTCCTCCTACCTGTCCTCAAGGACGTCCGTGCCAAGGGCACACTCACCCCCGACGGACGGAGGACAGACAGACTCAGACTCAGCGACAAGACAGGCAGTGGGAAGGCGAGCTTTAACTATAAGTGTGACGGGACAGGCTGTGGACACTCTAAGGGAGGAGGAGGAGCAGTAGAAGGCGAAAGACCAAGAACCTTCTGAAGGAGCGGAACGAAGTACGGCCGAGGCTGCGCGGCGACTCCAGACACAGCAGGGACAGCACCTGTATCCCCAGTGGTGGCACCAGTGCGAGCAGCACCTCCAGCTCCAGCACCCCCAGTAGCTCTAGTAGCTCCAGGGCCTCCAGCAGCACCAGTAGCACCCCCAGCAGGACCGCCTCCAGGACCGACAGCAGTAGCCTCAGCGCCAACACCCTCAGCAGCTCCAGCTCTAGTCGTACCCGCAGGCCCAACAGCTCCTGTAATCTCAGTACGAGCACCTTCGGGACCCGCTACACCAGCACCCTCAGCAACCGAAGAACCTCCAGATCAAGCAGCACGCCTCCAATGCCGGGCAAACCACTCGCGCAACTCCTGTGGAGAGAGTGGCTCTCGCCGAGACGAAGCACACGGAGAACCTCCAGGCACAGTACCGCCAGACGCGGCACGAGCAGGCCCAGCTCCCTCAGGCACCGCACCCCTAGGCTCAACAACTCCAGGCGTAGCACCCCCAGGCTCAGCACCCCCAGTCGTAGCATCCCCAGGCTCAGCACTGCCAGGCGTAGCACCCCCAGGCTCAGCACCCCTAGGCGTAGCACCCCCAGGCTCAGCACCCCCAGGCATAGCACCCACACGCTCAGCACCCCCAGAGTCAGCACTCCTAGGCTCAGCACCCCCAGCAGCACCAGAGTCAACAGCGACCTCCACGGGCTCGACTGCGTCTACCTGGGACACACCTGAAGGGGCACGACCCTGAGGGGGAAGGGGTTCTACCGGGGGGGGACCAGGCACAAGGAAAGAGCGGTGGCGGGGGGAGGGACGGAGTGCGGTAGGGGAAGAGGCGGTAGTAGGGGACCGACTCGTCAAACGTGACGTCCTAAGAGGACAGAACACGGCAAGAGGTGGGGTGGTAGAACTGCCACCCAGGCGCGTCAGGGGGGAAGCCAAGGAAGACGCAAGGAGTAGAACGAGGGGACAGCTTGTCCGCAGACAAGTCGCGGACAAACGCCCGAGATCCCGAGACACGGAACGCAGACGCATCGCCAACCTTCCCCGTCCAAAGCAAAGCTGGGGAGGTCTACGGCATGGAGACCCTGGGGTGAAGGTTGATCTGATGCGCCGCGTACCGAACCGCAAACGGCCACAGAAAATGGGGGGCAGCTGCATGCATCATGGACGTACGGGCGACGTCCATGACCATGCCAATGCGGGGCTTAGCAATCCCATTTTGCTGTGGAGAGTCCGGAAGCGTGAAGGTCTGGCGGATGCCTCGTGCACGACAGTAGGCTCGCTGAAGGCCAAAGGAGAACTCTCCGCCTCTGTCAGAGTGCAGACGCAGAACAGGAAAGTCCGAGCCGAAGCTCTGCCTGAGCTGGAGACGAGCTGCGCGGATCCAGTCGATCAACACCTCAGTGACACCACCCTTGCTGCGCAAGGGGAATACTGTGGTGTAACGAGAGTAGTCGTCAACCACCAGCAGGAAGTAGCGCTCGTGACCCTGTCCACGGACGCGGGCTGGGCCCCACACGTCCATGTGAAGCATCTGCAGCGGGGCCTCTGTAGGAGGAAAATGGGAGGAGTGAGGGGCAGCACGCTGCCGCCCCTCGACTCAGGGGACGCAGGCAGGGGCAGGCCCCGGGGGAAGGGGAGGGAGGGACCGGGGAAGACCAAAGACAAGGACACAGGAGGCCATGCCTCGGAGACGAAGCAGGGAGGGGTGACCAAGGCGGTGGTGCCAGAGGAGAGTCTCGTGAGACAGGAGGCGACACGAGCAGGGGGCAGACTCAGGACCAGACCTGGACGCTGCAGCAAACACCTGACCCGACGCAGCTACCTGACCAAACGCAGTGACAGGAGGAGACTCAGTGGTCAGTGTGTACAGGCTCGACCCCGGTCGACATGTAAAAGTGGCCAGGTGTCGGCCTGTCCGAGCGTCCGTGTAGTGGGTATCCCGCTGACTCGCAGAAGTGAACTGGTGAACCCCCGCATCCTGTAGGTCAGCACCACTCACCAAGTTCATAGAGAACGAGGGGAGGTAAAGACCAGACAGGGTGCCAGAGGGGGCCGCCGGACACGGGAGGACAGTGGAGAAGTGAGCAAGGGCAGGACCCCCAGAGGGGTTTGCCAGAGAGACTGCAACTGGCCGACCAAGCGGCGTGAGTGTGGTGCGGTCTCGAAAGAAGGAGCGAGAAGCCCCCGAGTCAAGGGTGAAGGTGTGGGAGGCCGAAGCCGACGCGGTACCTGAGAGAGCAGACTCACCAGCACCTGAGGAAGCAGTCGCACTGGCACCTAAAGCAACAGCCTCTCTAGCACCTAGAGCAGCAGCCTCACCAGTACCTAGAGCAGCAGTCTCAATGCTCGGGTCGGGCGGAAAACACCGGTAACAGTCACCCTCATCACTAATAGTCACAGCATACATGGCAGCAAGAATAGCATC